ACTCACCCTCCCAAGAGTCCCTGGGTAAGGTAGGCCATCGAGGAGGGGGCCTGTACACCTGAGTCCCGCTCCCAGGTTCAGATCTCCAGAGCCCTGCGGCCGAAAATGGAGATATTGCCCTCCAGATGGGAATTCATGTGGGGCCTACCACTGAGCCACCAGTGGCCCCAGAGGAGCCATGACAACAAAGGAGAAGGGATCAATTATCGCCAAACACCCACTCCCGGAGCCCAGACCATGCCAGCACCTCCCTGGCACTACTGCCTCCAGTTCTCACTCCAACTCTGGGAGGAGGGCTCCCCACTCCCATCGTGTGGAAACTCAGGCTCAGAGACACTTCTGACAGATGGGCTGTCTTTGGTCCAAGCATGGCAACTCCCTCATAAACCAGTGCCAACCACCTTGGCCTGCAGACCTGCCAGGGCAGGCAAGGCAGCAGAGGCCTAAGGGGATGATGAAGGGTCAGAGGTCTCTCACAGGAGGTGACATTTGAATGAAGCCTGGAATGAGGAATAAGAAGGTGGCAGCTATGTGAAGAGCTGGAGAAGAGAACTCCAAGCCGAGGGAACAAGTGCAAAAGTCCTAGGGTGGGAAAGAACCCGATGGTTGTAAAACATATCAGGACACTGAGTCAGCTGCTATTTGGGGAGAGAAGAAAAGTACGGTGCAGACGAGGAGGGGTGGCAGCAGGGGCCGGCCACCCAGGCACTCAGGCTGTGGTAAGTGGTTCTGACTTTACTCCAGGAGCAATGGGAAGCCATTGCAGGGTTAATCAGCCAAGAGACGGGATCTGACTTATGTTTGGCTGCTCTGTGGAGCCTGGATTGGGGGTTAGGGTGGGGGCCAAGGTCGGGGCAGAAGGACCCCGGAGGAGGCTTTTACTGCCATCTGAGTGAGGGATGGCGATGGCTTGGGCTTGGGGGTGGCTACTGAAGTGGAGAAGTGGAAGATTTGGGATGTCTCGGGGGGAGCCAAGGTGCCTGCCAGTCCCCTCTGTCTTCATCTGTCAGACAACTCGGCACCTTCAGGAAGCTGCTCAGCGGACCCTCCGCCACAGCCCAGGCAGGGGTCAGCTCTGCCCAAGATGCCCCCAGCAGGGCCTTTTGTGACAGCACTCCTCCAGCCAGGGCCTGGTTCGGGTCTATGCATCTGTCTCTACTCAGCCAGGCACTCCCAGAGGCAGAGGCTGGTTCTGGTCCATCTAGTGCACAAAACCTGGTGCCCAGCCTGTGCCAGACTCCCTCCTAACAAGCTTCCCTCCAACCAGTGCTGGTGATCAACATCACTAACTGCCCCCCTAGCAAGGCCCTGCTGCTCTCTCTCTGACGGGTGTGGAGGGCTAGGTGGGTGCATCTCCGCAGAGCTTCCCCAGACAGGCTGGCCGTGTGTCAGCAGCACTTCCTTCCTCTGCTCACGTCCTGCTCATAGCCTCACCTCCTGCTCCTCCAGGGCTCATTCGCATAACCCTCACCTGGATCTCAGACCTTGGAGTCAGGGAACAGAAGCCCGATGGCCAGGAGCCCAGGTGTGAGTCCACTGCCTCAACTGGGCTGCTCCACACTGGAGCTGACACCTGACCCCTTGGCTTGGGGTACGCCCAGGCACCAGGGCAGCTGTGGAGGGCAGGCACAGGCAAACAGCCCTGAGGCCCTGCAAGAGCCAAAAGGCTCAGATTTTTTGGGGGATTGAGATGTAATTCACATACCATAAAATTCACCGTTTTAAAGTGTACAATTCAATGGCTTTTATATATTCAAAAGGTTGTACAACCGCCCCCACTATCTAATTCCAGAATATACTCATCAGCCCCCAAAAAACCCCCATACCCATTGCAGTCCCTCCCCATTCCCCTCTTCCCTCTGCCCCTGGCAACCACTCATCTACTTTCTGTCACTACAGATTTGCCTATTCTGGACATTTTATCTAAATGGCAAAAGGCTAAGCAGCCTTCTAGGCTACAGGCTCCCAGTGGAGCCCACAGAAGGGACCACAGGAGTGACACAGCTGCACGTCCCTTCTGAGATGAGGATTTGTGCTAGACTGTCAGTCCCGCACATCCAAGAGCCTGAGTTTCCCTAAGGAGCAATGCCTTACTCATCCCAGAATCCCCTCAAAGTCTGGCCCAAGACCAGCTCACTGGCCCTCCCACTCGCCCTCCCAATTTCAGAGCAGAACAAAGAAAACAAAACAAAACAAAACAAAAACAAGCAGTGGCTACTCACCTAGGCTGCTAAGTGTCTGCAAGCCTACATTAGATGCCTGACAAACATCAGCCGTGAAGTAAGCTTTGACCTAATTCCCCCTTCCCAAAAGAGTTTACCAGAAGCCAAGTACAAAAAGAAGCAACCTTTTTGGAAAAAAATCTTCCTCTGCCCCCTGGCAGTTGGCTGTGAGATGGTCATTCAGCCCATTGCTCCTGGCAAGGTTCGAGTCTGCCTGCTCTAAGGTATCCAACACGGTAGCCACATGGGCATTCCACCCACACATGGGCAGAGGAGGTCCCTGGCATGGGTTTTCCCTGTCTGGGAGGCCAAGTGATTGGCCGTGAGCTCCTCAGCACAACTGCTAACCAACTGGATTCTCTCAGAGAGGGCTGGGCAAACGGCGAGGGGGTCCCAGTTCTAAGGCCCATGGGCAGGGCTGGGCAGCGTGTCCTCTGTCCCCTGAATACGGGCTCAGGAAAGCACAGCTTTGGAAAAAATCTCCAAAGGCAGTTTCTCCTCAGAGCCCCTGCAAGGGGCTCCCGACCCACTTCTGATTCCAGACACAGGAACCTTGAATCACATGATAAATGTGCTCCCAAACATGGGCTCAATCAATTTTGCTTTTTAAAAGCCAACCACATTTTAAATGTCCACACAACTCTTCCGGTAGCACAAGCCAATTGCTCTTACTTGCTATTCGTTTGTTAACTATCAGCTTTGCTTAAAAGAGGCTCTCCTGCATTCATGGACATCTTCCTCACCCAGCGTCACCCCAACTTAGGCCCTTTCCTCTGTCCTCATCCCCAGCCCCGTGGAGCAGCTGGTGCCAGGGCACAGAAAGTCAGTGCCAGAGCCATCTTCCTCCTTCTGTGTTCCCAGAAGCAGTGGGAGGGTGCAGCTGGGTAGGGAGGAAGATAAGAGGATTTGCCCCTATAGGAGAGGGTGTGACACACAGAAATGCATCTTCTGTAGCTTGAGAAAGATCCCAAAGTTGAAAAAAATAAATGACCCCCGCCAGGGAAGTGGTGGTGTGCCTGCCCCGGCTCCCACTCCTCTCAACTCTGACCATGGCCGACCGGAGTCGGCCATCCGTCCACCTACTCTCTGACCGGCGTGAGCTAAAGGACACCAAATGGTCCCATCACCACACCCTTACAGAGAACGAGGCCCTCCCTCTCCGGGCACTCTCCCACCACTTGCCCACCCCATGAAAAGAACTCAGCAACACTGCCTTTTCCCTGACCCCGCTGTGGAATCACAAGAAGCTGGAGGGGAGCCTGCCCTCCTAGGACCGTCTTGGGTGCTAGGCCTCTGTCTAGTCATGGTTATCACAGTGACCCCAGCTCCCGTGCAAGCAACTCACCTGCTGGTGGTTTGGCAGTGGTGGGTTATGTCAACTTGGCCCAAAATCTAAGGGTGTACACCTTATAGGAGGCCCAAAAAGCATCCTTGTTAAGCATCTGCTTATGCAGGGCGGAGGCCTCTGGGGAGACTGCTGCATCACTGGCAGGGTCAGAGGGCAAGCCCCTCCCCACAGACTTGGAAGGAAGCAAACACCTCATGGACGGAGCCACCTCAGAGCAGAGAGTCAAACCGACAGACCACTCAACCAACATGCTCATTTTACAGATGAGGAAATTGGGGTCCAAAGCGCAAGGAGCTCATTTCTTGAGTCAACTATCTACCGTTCGTTAGACAGTTTTCTGGAACGAAGCCTCAACCTGTGTTCTCATCTCCTACCAGCTTCAGCATGCAACAGCTCTCAGAAACAACCCTCCTCACTCCCGATCTTAAATAGCCCAGCAGTCACCCTCCTTCCTCTGGGTGACCCCCACCACTAGCCACATGAGCCTCCCACCTACACTGGGCCCACATATGCACCCAACAGCTGCCCATCAGAGTCCCCCAAACCTTTCATGTACTGTAGGAGCTCTGACCTCACCCCTGACTTGAGCCAACTGAGGACAACCTGAAATACTAGTCTGATTTTTTTAAAAGTGTAGCTTTACTGCCCCAAAGCACTCAGAATAGGTTCTTCACACTTTAGGTCATCTTCACCAATGGGCAGAAAAGCATGGTTTGTAAAGATCATGAAATCTTTTCAAAGCACTGGGTACTTAAACCCAGTACTCCTCCTGCGTATTTGCAAACTCATTAAACAGGCCCTTTATCAGCACTACTGATTTGAAACACCTCTGTAAACCCTTCCTGGTGCATTTGAGACCAAGCCAGCTTTATAAAAACCCACTTTCCACACATGGTGTTCAGGGTCTTTCTCTGGCAAGGGGGCACTCATGCCAATAAGAATAGCGTGAGTAGAGCATGTTTCTCCTGTACAAATAGAAGATCTGAAACAGAACAGCTTTTCTGCCCATTCCTCCAAGCATGGAAGCTCGTGGGAGAAGGCCTACTGCAAAGCTCACAGCTCAGACCACACTCCGAACACCACCCTCAGAAAGAGTGGGGGGTGGTCTCAGCTCAAAAGTTCTCTGAGAAGACTCCACCCCAGCATCACCTAGCACCAGGCCAGGGCCTGCACCTGCTTGCGAGCAAGATGGGAAGACAAAAGCCAACAGCTAGAGGGAAGAGGGGTGCCCAGAGCAGTCCCTCCTTCCTTCTGCAAAGTTCTCCTTCTGGTTCAGATCCCGCTGGGTGTGTATGGGAAAAGAGACCAGAACAGAGTTCTCATGTGTCTATTTTGTTGTAGGCAAAAGTCACTTCTTGCCCATGCCTCACATACCCGGTGGTCAGGGAGGCAGCAGGCACAAGGCAGGCTGGGCTGCCGGGGCCACTTACCAGCGGGGGCTGCGGCTGGGGGTGCTGCCCTGCTCCGGAGGGGGGTGGGTAGTGCATGAGCAGATTGAAGGCGGAGTAGACGGTGTCTTTGTACATGCCGCTGGCGCACTCCGGGGCCTTCAGGCCTGGAAAAACCACAGCTGGGTCAGACGCGCCAGCCCGGGCAGCTTGGGCTGAAGACTGTCTGCTCTCGAGAGGAAAAATAAGAATTGCCAAGGAGTCTCCTTCAAGTTGGTGACTTGAGAAGGAACCGGCTGGGGGGTCCTCAAAGTGCTAAGCTTTGACGAAGGACCCCCGAGTCCAGGCGTCTCTCCGCGCGGCCCCTACTTGACCCCCACCGGCCCTCGGGCCAAGGAACCTTGGCCACCGCTTTCTCCTCCAGACGAGGGGATTAGTCAGTCACCTGGGCAGGAGGGGAGGCGGAGATGGCGGGGGTCTGTTTACTCCTATAAAGGTCAGGGCACCGGAAGTGACTCGAGCCTGGCGGCGCCCGGGAAACCCGCCCCCCACTCCCTCCACCCCCTGGTTTTACCGCCTCCGGGAGCTGCAGTTGTGGGGGCGGCACCCCCTCTCTCCCAGCGAGGCCGGGGCCTTGGCGGGAGGAGGGGAGCCGGGCCGTGCAGAAACTCACCGTCCTCCAGAGACTCTGCAAGTTTGTCGGGGAAAAGTCTCTGCGAAGTGTGTTCCCGCCCGAGAGCCTGCGGGGAGATCCAGGGGGCCGTGAGGGGGGCCGGGGAAGCGGGGGCTTGGGACCGGGGACATGGGGGTTCTGAGGGATGGGGACTCCGGGGGCCGCGAGAGGGGGGGC